GTGGATAGCTTGAAATTATAGTGACGCCTTAGGCGTATTTTATATTCCATTGGGAGAGCTCCCTTTTTGAACGCCTTTTATGAAATCTTTACTTATCAAAAAAATAACAAATAAAAAAAACAAAAAGAGAGAAAGACACCTTACCTTCCCTTCCCTAGGGATGCCTCATCCATCCCTTCCCCTCTCCCTTCCATCCATTTTTCCATCCCTCCAACCAAACAGAGCACAAGAGACTCGTAACCATGTCACACATTTCCGTATCGGACATACGGAAATGTGTCCTACACATGTTCATATCGGACACATGTTTGACACACCATATCTCCTCCTAGAGGAGTGCCTGTGCTTGCTAGCTTATGTTTTGCATGTCTAGCTTATAAATAACACCAACACACCCATTACTTTAGTTATGCTACGACTAAACAAGAATCCTAGCCATATGCTAGAAGAAATACATTTATATTCTCTCCCACTATCAGTGTGCTTATATGGCAAGAAAGCATGTTCACTAGCACTACTTTAAGCACATCCACCAAAACTTTAGCAATAACCATGTGACATTCCAACAGATATTGTGAGCTGATATATATGTGTTCCCTCAATCATGCCTTGAATCATGGACCTTGATTCATGGCTGCTCCCTTGACTTTGTGTCCCATTTATCATGCCTTGATTCATGGCTTTTGTATTAAGTTAATCATTTTTCTGTTTCCTTTATTGTAAAGTTCACATGTTCTCTTCTAGTATAAATACTAGAGCTATGGATGAGTTCAATAACACGGCAATTACATATTTCTCTAGAATCTCTCTTATCTTATATTTCTCTCATTCTATCATATAATTCTATGTGGTATCAGAGCCATTATAGGCTGTTAGCAACAGACTCTGAAAAAAGCCATTCTAGGCTGTTTGTCAGCAAATTATGAAGCTGCCTGTATATGGTTCCATAGTTGCTTCTTTTTTTTTAACAAAGGCAAGTACTTCTAAGTTTTTGTAAGTTTTTTTTTTTACTAGGATTGGGTAATTTGATATTGTTGGTCTCCAACACCTAGGAAGACTTGGTTAAATTCATATAACCTAAAGAGAGGTTCAAAATAGAGAGAAGGAGGCTGTCCGGCTTTATGTAAATGGGCAGTGCTCCTAACAAAATTCTGGTTTTTTGAATGGTTTGAGGAGACAATTTTTTGACTAATTGACAATTATTTGTGGTGATTTTTTAAAAGTTGTTTCTTAGCTTGTGATAGAGAATGGCAGATTCTGGATCATCTAATGTTATTTCAGACGACTCAACCTTTGTGGGTGGTGGTGCCATTTCTCACACCAACTCGTCAGATAATCCAGGACTTCAAATCACCACAGTGAAGTTGGATGGCTCCAACTATTTAATTTGGGCACAATCTGCGAGGATGTTCATTGGTGGCAAAGGTAAGATTGGATATATTACTGGTTCAGAGAGGGAGCCAGCAATGACAGATAAAGCATATCCACAATGGTTTGCCAATAATGCCATGACTATGTCTTGGCTAGTATGTTCTTGATTTACTTTCTACTTCTGGCCAATTAGGTGCTCATCCTGCTGATACTCCTATTGAGCAGAAACATCGCTTGGCTGATTCTGAGGGGGAGATTGGCAGATATTGATCAGTATCAGCGACTTGTTGGGAAGCTCGTCTACCCATCCATGACTCGACCTGACACTGCTTATGTTGTGGGTGTTGTGAATCAATTTATGCACTCTCCCCACTCCCCTCACCTTGATACAGCTATTCGGATCCTTTGCTACTTAAATGGGTGTCCAAGTCATGGTATTTTGTATGCTAATCATGGCCACTTACGTATTGAAGCCTAGACAGATGTTGATTATGCGGGATCAATTTCAGATAGGAGGTATACTTCTGGATACTTCACTGCTATTGGTGACAACTTAGTTACTTGGCGTAGTAAGAAACAGGATGTTGTCTCGCGATCGAGCGCGGAGGCAAAGTATAGAGCTATAGCTCGTGGAGCGTGTGAATTAATATGGCTACAAACGTTGATGACAGACTTGTGTATACTATTGTCACTTCCTTTTTCACTTTACTGTGACAACAAGTCTGCCATTAGCATTGCAGCAAATCCTATCCAGCACGACATGACTAAGCATATAGAGGTTGATCGACACTTTATTCGAGAGAAAATCAACTCTGGTCAAATTTGCACTCCATTTGTCACTAATGCTCAACAACTTGCCAACATTCTTACTGAGGGTGTCAACAAGACTGTGTTTGAGGATGCATTGTCCAAGTTGGGCGACTCAGATATCCACGAACCAACTTGAGGGGGAGTGTGAGCTGATATATATGTGTCCCCTTAATCATGCCTTCAATTATGGACCTTGATTCATGGCTGCTCCCTTGACTTTGTGTCCCATGTATCATGCCTTGATTCATGGATGCTCCCTTGACTTTGTGTCCCATTTATCATGCCTTGATTCATGGCTTTTGTATTAAGTTAATCATTTTTCTGTTTCCTTTATTGTAAGATTCACATGTGCTCTTCTAGTATAAATACTAGAGCTATGGATGAGTTCAATAACACAGCAATTATATATTTCTCTAGAATCTCTCTTATCTTATATTTCTCTCATTCTATCTTATAATTCTATTGATATAATAAGTGTAAACTATAAAGTCTCTAAAAAAACACGGCCTTGTCACATATAAACTCCACTTCAAGATTAAATCTTTGAGGACTGCACAACAATCCTGGTCAAATCCTTCACAACCTCATTCCAGAACCTCTAAATAAAAGGCATTATTATAGGATTCAGAAGTCTCATCTCCATATAAAATCTTGACGCCGCAACCACTCCCTCTCTCTCAAACAATCTTTCCAGCCACTTAACAATACTAGAGTAAATGTCCAGACCATCAAGAAAACCTCCACCAGACCTGTTCTCTCAAACAACCTTCAGAGAAACAGCACAACCCTCTTTATATCCATTTTCCCTCGTCCTAATGCTCAATTCTACCTTGCTAATAATATTGCTAATTTTATGAAATCAGACATTTAGACAAAAACTTGTGGTGTTCTTGTCCCTTTAGAGCTCTTATTTTTGCTCCCAACAAATCTCCCACAAGTCTGTCAACCTCCTGAATTTCACTTCACCTCCATTCCTAAAAATGTCCTAATAGTTAACCTCTCTCCCCTTCCTGTCCCCTCACAAACTCCCAATGCCCTCCAAAACTCTAGTCCTCTGCTCAAAATTTCTCCCAAAAGTACCCTTATTCCATTTCTTCAATTAATAGAATCCCACCGGATTCCTATTAGGATAGGTAGGATCACTACCATTGGAAGTTGGGACAGTTCTACTTTCCTGTTTTTTTTCCCTACTAATCAGGTTAATAAACAAGCAATTTTTCAGATCAGCAAGCCAATTCTTCTTCAGCTTTATATTTATCCTCAGATGATATTACTCAATATTCTCAACCCTTTGGAGGATAATGTAATAGAAGTTGAATCCAAAACAATGGCAATCATTTTCACTATTTTTTTTCGCAAAATCTCAACATTACTCAGATACACAAAAATCCGTACTGAATCTTTCAAGATCAGTAGTAATACAAATATCTATTTTGGTGAAACCTCATAGAACAAAGAGAACTTCCATTAGTGTAATTAGTAGCAACAGCAAATTCTTAGGCATGATTTACACTCAGCTCCTTCTCCAAACCCAAACCCCCCCCCACCCCCCCCCCCCCCCCCCCCAAACAACACCCCCCTCTCTCCCCCCCTCTTTTCATTAAATCTTTCTAGTTTCTCTAGATTGTTCGAATTCCAGTGTTCTTGCAATTTCATTAGTTTCACTAAAAAAATTTATTTTTCAAATGTTTATATGTTGATATTTTAATAATATTAATTCAACTCATACATTTGGTCTCAGCTACATGACTCCAATTTTTCCTTTAAAGCAATCATCAAAGTCCAACTGTTATCTTATCTTTTCTTACTATATCATCCATCATTCTTCCTTGCATATGACCAAACAGTCTTAACTGATGTTCTTTCATTTTATCTTCAATAGGAGCTACTTCAACCATCTGAAGAGTGTTTCATTTACCACCAAGGGGTTAGCCCAGTGATATCTCCCTAATTTCAAAGAAAAAGGTTGAGGATTCATGATCCCGATCCCGTAGGACATTATGGGTGTGTAAGTTATTTGCCATGATAAATTTCAAAAAAATAAAACTGCTTTAATTTCTAATTTTATCCTTTCATGTCTTACGACACATCATGTCAACATTCACATTTCAAGCAAACAAATTTCACTAAATTGTGTTCATTTCTGATATTCAAAACAGTTTTGAATAAACATATTATTATTTTGGTATTTTTTTTTTTTTTTTAAATTCTTACAATTATGATTTTAATCCATCACAACAATTCTAAGGTCTATGATCAATTCCATCCTCCTTTTTATTATTAGTAAGAGTTAGTTATAATAATAATAATAATAATAATAATAATAATAAATAAATAAATAAAAATTAAAACCACCAAAGGAGATATCTATACACACAAGCACTATACAAGAATCACCTTCTCCAAGACATCACCCAAAAAACCTACAAAAGATCGTAAAGAATCTGGAGACGAGTCAATAATCAATTTCTTGATCCTACAAACGAGCAACTCCACTGAAACGAGAAACTTTAATGGTTTGGATAATAGGAGCTCAAGCAAATCACCATAGTTTAACACGCATATTCAAGGGTAGAAATATCCATTCTTGAACAGCATAGTAGGTAATAAAAACATATATAAAACTAATTAAATTAAAGAAAAATACGCATCCGTAATCCATTACAACATAGGGTTGGAATTTACACCGTCTGAAAACAAAATTTTATCTCTTCACTAAGGCTCCAGTGGCTATAAAAGGAAACAACCAAGGGTAATTCATAGAGTGAAACAATTAGGGACTGAAAAGACTAAACAGTAGGTATGAATCTGATTTGTACCATGATACATGATTGCACAACTGAGATTGTCAATGCCATATGATACAAGCGTAATTGATGAAAGAGAGATGACAAAATGACATGGGCATCAAACCTGCATATCCACAACTTTATAATCATTACCAACATCACATAAACATATACCTTACAGAATATAAACAATATCAAGGAACAAGAAAAACTAATGTGCTCAATATGGCAAAATGATTGAGGAATCATAAGTTCATAACGAATTACGGCACAAAGAGATCAAACAAACAAATTATGCTCATGATTTTTAAGGTATAATGGAAAGTAACTCAGAAAAAATTAAATGGGTTAACATGTTCAGCTCCCATCAACGTTTCCAAAAAATAAAAGTTTGTTTTATGATAAATCCCCACTATTTGGAACATTAGGATAAAAATACTCGTCACATTACTTCATGTAATCCATAACAAATGCATACAAATAAAACCACACTATTTGGAACATTATGTATAAAGAATCTCAAATTATTTCACCTAACTGGCCTCTTCATCAGCTTGATGTGAAGAATGCTTTCCTTAACGGTGATCTTATTGAGACTATTTATATGGATCCTCCACCCGGTTTTCGGGCTGAGGGGGAGAATGCTGGAAAGGTCTGTCGATTGCAAAAGTCTTTGTATGGGTTAAAATAATCTCCCAGAGCTTGGTTCAGCCGCTTCAGTGATGTAATTCTATCCATGGAGTTTGTTAGATGCCCATCATGTTTTATCCACCGTTCTTCTATTGGTCGATGTATCATTCTTCTTGTCTATGTTGATGATATCATCATTACTGGTAATGACATCCCTGGGATTGCTCAAGTAACGCTTCAATTAGCTAAAGCTTTTAATGTGAAAGACCTTGGGCAGCTCATATATTTCTTGGGAATTGAGGTTGCTAGATCTAAACAGTGAATCTCTTTATCGCAAAGGAAGTATGTCTTGGATCTTCTTCGAGACATGAGTATTCTTGGGTGTAAACCTGCTTCCACTCCTATGGATCCTAATATAAAGATCTCGGCTGAGTCTGGAGATCTCTTTTCTGATCCCTCACAGTATCAGTGCTTGGTAGGAAGATTGATTTATCTTACCAACACCCGTCCTGATTTGGCTTTTGTTGTTAGTGTTGTGAGTCAGTTTATGCATGCTCCTCGTACAGCTGATATAGATGCGGTATATCATATTCTTCGATATCTTCTAGCAGGCAGGTTGGGCTATCATGTTTCAGTGTTGCAGACTATGCTGGATCCAAGACTGACCGACATTCCACATCTGGCTTCTGTACTTTCTATGGAGATCATCTTATATCTTAGAAAAGTAAGAAGCAACCTATAGTTTCGAGATCTTCAACAGAGGCTGAATATCGTGCCATGGCCCACGGTACTTATGAGATTCTCTGGCTTCGATCTTTCTTAGAGGAACAAGGGTCAAGTGAAAAACAGTCCTCAGACTTGTTTTGTGATAATAAGTCAGTCTTCTTGGTAAATGGTTGTGGAGATTTAGGGTGGAGAGGCATTGGCTTTGGCGAAGGGTCGTTGCTTGTCGTTTTGGGGAGTCTAGAGGAGGGTGGTGTTCTCTGGAGGTGCATGGCCCTTAGGGTGTGGGGGTTTGGAAAGTTATTCGAAAGGGATGGGATGAGTTTTCCAAACACGTTCGTTTTCGCATTAGGGATGGTAGGAGGATCAGTTTTGGGGAGGATGTGTGGTGTGGGGATTCTCCTCTCGCCATCTCTTTTCCTCATCTTTTTAGGATTGCTACGGAAGGCAGGCCATGGTGGTTAACTGTTATCATCTTCATAGTGGGACTCTTGTTTGGGATGTTCGATTCAGGCGGTTGTTTTAGGATAGGGAGATTGAGGAGGCCATTCGTTTTTTGGAGTTGTTGTATCGCCAAAGGATTGTGGATGGGGTTTCTGATTGTTGGTCCTGGGTTGCAACCTCTCATGGGCGCTTTGAGGTTAGATCCTTTTTCAGATGCCTCACGGATGTTACTAGAGCTCGCTTCCCTTGGAAGGCTGTTTGGCGCTCTAAGGCTCCTCTCAAGGTGGGTTTTTTTGCTTGGTCTGCTGTTTTGGGAAGGATCTTAACCCAGGATAATTTGAGAAGGCAAAATCAGGTAGTGGTCAATCGTTGCTATTTGTGTCTTCAGGATGAGGAAACTATGGATCACCTTCTCCTCCATTGCACCATGGTTAGAGACTGCTGGAATTTGATGTTTGGCTTGTTTGGGATTCTTTGGGTTATGCCTGGATCCGTTAGAGGATTGATTGAGGCTTGGAGAGGTTGCCATGTGGGGCCTCACATTCTGAATGCTTAGAGGGCTACGCCTCTTTGTGTGTGGTGGTGTGTTTGGCTCGAGAGGAATAGAAGATATTTTGATGGGAAAGAGTTGTTGATTTCTACTCTTAAATTCTCTATTATTTCTACCCTTTTTTGTTGGGTTCCTGGGAGAGATCATAGATCTTTAGAGGAAATTATCGATTTTTTGGCCTCTTTGAAGGCTTAAAGGTCATTGGTGGCCTTGTGTATATCTTCAAGGCTTCGCTCCCCTTTTGAGCGCTTTTATAAAATTTTCTTACTTATCAAAAAAAAAAGTCAGCCATCGTGCTTGCTTCAGATTCTGTTCTTCAAGAGAGGTCTAAACGTATAGAGGTGGACATTCATTTTATCAGAGAGAAGGTTCATTCGAGAATTATCAAGCCGTGCTTTGTTCGGTTCTCTAATCAGTCGGCAGATGTGTTCACCAAATTCGTTGGTCCATCTTTGCTTCATTCCTCGATTACCAAGATGGGTTTGATTGATATCTTCACTCCAGCTTGAGAGGGAGTGTTGAAATATCTGTATTATTATTATTTTTATTTTTATTAGTTGTTTTCAACACTTTATTAGGTGTTTTATGTAAGATACCTATTATCATGGGATCACGTAGATAAGATCCCCGTAATTATGGGATCACGTAAATAAGATCCCCATAATCATGGGATCACATAGATGTTGGCATATTTCCTGTTTTCTTTGATTTGGTTTCCTTTCTTTGTACCCTACTCTTGTATATAAATATAGCTCTTGGCTCTCGGTTTGAGTAAGCCAAAACCCAAAACTTCTTCTTTTCAATCAAATATTGGCTTTAAAAAGCATAGAATCCCAACAATCAATTGGTGTTGTATATTTAAATGAATGAAGAGTCAGTGAATCATCTTCGTTTTGCCCAATGTAAGAGATGCCTAGGCCATGTTCTTTTCGATATTTGGAGTACACTGGATTGAATTGGAGTCCACGATCAGAGTTCTCAAGGGATGGAAGAGGTGTACAGTGGGAGGGCAAGCCAAGAAGCTTGGAGGATCAGACCCCTGTGTATTTGGCGGGAACTATAGCATGAAAGAAATAACATGTCTTTTGAGGGTGTTGAAAAGTCGATATGGGCAATAAGGAATCATATTTGAGCTTGCTCTATTTTTGGGTTACAGAGAGATCTTGTATATCTTTGGAGGATTTTCTTGATTTTTTGGGTAGTTTAAGATTGTCGAATATAGAAAAGAAAATATATATACATATATATATATATATACAGTTTTTCTAAGGTTCACTCCCTTTTGGGCGCCTTTTTAATGGAATATTACTTACCAAAAAAAAAAAAATCACTATAAAAAGAGATTTTATAACTAGGTTACAGTTTCTCAGGCCCTAGAAAATCCCTAGCTACCTCCAAAAATAGATAGAAGTCCAACTCCACTCGAGTCTTCAGGCAATCCACTCCGTCAATCGCTCCTCGTGCGGTCCACTCCTTCTCAAGCAAGCAAACTGATCTCCATGACTAGTCGTCCAAGTCTTTGTTCAATGCATATAAGTTTTAGTTGATCAATCTTTTTATATTGTGTGATTGATGAAGCTTGATGTAAGATGTCGATGTGATCTTTCTACTTTGACTTCAGTCAATCACAGCTTCAATGTCAATGCAACCTTCCACTGAAGTGACACCACATATAAACTAAGACACAAATTTTGCTCACAGAATATGCAAACATATCACTTTCCTAACAATCTTCCACTTTGGCAATTTCAAGACAAAACCAAGAACATACATATAAGAATGTTTCGACACAACCACAAAAACCAAATCGCCCTTGCATGTCCCCAAAATAAATAAAGAAAAATGCATCAACTTATGCCTAATAGACACAAGGACCAAATCTTGATTTTATCTTTGACTTTAACCTCTCAAATTACATATACCTGCACACAATGACACAAAAATACCTTTATGAATGTTAATAAAGCTGAAGTATAAAACTAGTAAAATAAAGACCATGAACATTTTTGCATTCTTTTCTTCCCTATTAGTAATAAGGAATGGAACCCATGGCTCTCATAGAGTCGTGCAAGGTCCACTAATCTAAACCTAGAGGGAGTGCATAGGTCTTGTAGAACTGTGTAACTATTTTAACTAATTTTTAATTAACCAGATAAAACTGAAATTTCAATCACAATAAACTCGCAAATAGCAAATATCATGCAATCCACAACAATTAAAGCAGTAAAAGTAGACACCAATTTTTTAAAAAACGAAAACCTACAGGACCTAGTCTAGGCGAACCAATCCATTATCAAGAAAGAAGGATTACAACCTAGGTTAACATTTCAATGACCCTTAAACCCCTAGTTACCTCCTCAACAAAGAAGACTCCAAACTTCTCCCTCGAAAAGTCTCTAGGTAGTCCTTTCGCTCGTCAACAACGTCCACTCCTTATGAACCTACTTCTCCAGTGAATCAGTCACAGCCAGCGGTAACTAAAAAATGAAACTATAAAGAGATTCATCTTCTAGAAATATCCAATATTAGTCGTTCAGGCATCAATTTATGGATTGAACTAGTGTGTTTAAAGAATCTCTTTTGTACACAGCAACAGATATCAACTCATATGCATACGCTCACCAACCAATGCATATGATGAACATAAAAGAAAACTATGCACTCTTACAAACTCACAAAAATCTACACTCAATGATGTATGCTCTGGCAACACACATGTCAACACATATTCATTTTCTTCATGTTCTCGACAGTTTTTCTTTTCTTTCTTTCTCTTGCCTCTATCTCTTGTGTGTGTTTGTGTATTTATATGATGAAGATAGAATTTCCTATTTAGAAACCAATGTCTTGTAATATATCTCTCTTGTACTAATAGATACATAGTGAAGGAAGCTCAATTTGATACAGGGAGTTCAATTCCACACCAATATGGTTTCCTTAGTACAAGAAGAATAGTCCAACCAGCTCATTTATTATGTTTTTCTAAGTAAACCATTTTATATAATAATTTTTATAAATAATGCAGAGACCGGTCCTTACAACATATGTGTGTGTGTGTACATATATATACACACACATACATGGCATATGAATTTTTTTTTCATAAGCATGTGTTTTATATTGATAAAAGATGGGACATGGTATATGAAATTTTATGAAGCCTAGGTTTGAATGCATGTTGAATATTTATATATTTGATGAGAATTTTTAAATTGATTGTTATGCTAGATAAATAAGATGTTAGATAAATAAGATGTCATGTAACAAATTCATTACATTTAATTGTTTTAAATTGACAGATATTGTTGGAAATTTGAGAAAAAAATTGTGTTGGAATGAATGTAGAGTGTAGACCCTAATAATTTTCATGATTTGGATTGACCAAATTAGGTCATGGTTTTTCACCATTCTGATCACTATAGGAACCTTGAGTAATGGAGAATCAATCCATACATATTTTTGTGGTGATTTAGTGCCCCTAGACCATTGAAATTCAGGTACAAACAAGGCTGGTCATAAAGGGCTGAAACAGAATAGAGTCTAGAGAAATTTGGGTAATAAGATGACTAACCCAGCCAGCCACACAAGCCCACGTGCAGTGGAGGCGCGTGCAGGCTGCTGGGTGGTGGTTCTGGAGGCGGGTTGGGCCCACCGGACCTCACTCCATACAGAAACAAAAAAAATGTATTTTATTTGAATTTAGGATTTAGAGAAAAAGATCAATATCCAGATTGTGAGAAAAAGAGGGATGTTGGCTTAATAGAACAAGTATATCAACATTTACATCTGCTATTGAACTGCCATAGACCAACTTAACAAATCATATATTAATCTCTTATCAAATTATATGATGCAAATGGCACATGCTTCCTGTTTATCATTTCAATATGTAATTCGTTTAATATATTTATTTATCAATTCATCAAATCTAAAAATATAATATCACTACACAGTGACCTGTACCAGTAAATAGCGCAATACGCAGGCATCTCTCAGAGGACATGGAAATTGAGAAGAGAAGTAGATACACGTACTGATAAAACAATGAATTAGGGTTCAAATTTATCAAGAAATATATTTACGAATCTTGAATAATCTTTTTTTTTTTTTTTTGGGTAATTAAATCTAGAATAATTTTTCATCTTAATAAAAGTGAAATTTATATAATCAAGTACAAATAATATACAAATCAAAAGAACTCTTCACAGTTAAATATCGAGTATTGATTCAATAGGGTATAAGCCCGAGAAAAAACTTGATATACGAATGCGAAAAAAAAAGTGTAGAGAAAGAGAGACTCACGAGAAATCGCCAAAGCCCCAAGGCTGGGTCAAGTGAAGTGAGTACTGAAGCTCCAAAAGTGCTCGAATGTCGAAGATAGCACGAAAGGGCGGGAGACAACGAAAAAATTAGAAAACCCAATTGCTCTCTCTCTCTCTCTGCATATATACAAGCATACCATATCTTATATAATTTGTGCGCGCGCGCTTGGAGCCTTGGAGGGGTTTGGCTGGGTGTTATGTTAATGAAACCCTCTGTGACACTTCTGGTTAGATTTTATAATTTATTTCCATCAAAATTCAAATTTATTTTTTTTCCCAACATTACCCTTATTATTAAAATACTAATCATCATCAAATACCCCAAGCCCCCAGTTAAAAGATCGATTGAGAAAGGACTGCACAGGCTAAAGTCATTTCTTTCTCTCTTCAATGTTTTTGACTCGCGCTTAAGGAAGCCAGCTACTCAAGCGAGTAAACCGACTTTTGAGAATGACTAAATACGTCTCTATGCATTGTCTTTAAAAAAAAAAAAATTTTAAAATTCCACACAAACTAAACAACACTACACAATAGTGCAATTACAAAGAACATCTGTTGCGAAAACGGATGTGATCATACATACACAAGCAACAAACAAAGCCACCATATGAAAGGAACACAGCGATTCAACAACCACATAGTGATTCAGATCCCCTCAATAGCATCCATAAACAAAGCCAAACAGTTGTAGCACAACACAAAGTCCACTACCGGGGGACTTGGCTTGGTCCTACCGTCGGAGTCAAATTTGGTAGACAGGGAACCAAAACCCATGTCCAGCAACCTAACAGCCAGTGGGCCTGCCTTGGTTTAGACCCAGCAGCAAAGATGTGATACTTGTCATGTTTAGTGGAAGGAAGCAAAATTGGGCTTAAAGCACCGCCCAACTGAACAACAAACCCATATGATAACCCCTGTAATTCACTCATGTACTTGTCGGCAACTATAAAAGAGGCCGAAAGCAAAGAGCCCAACTTTCTAGAATATTCAGTCATTGCGTCTTCCCCACGCACTAACAGCGAGGATTTGACCGATGAACCAACAGCGGACCCCACACATCACGACACGAGAAAGGAGGACTACTATGGAACGCATGGAGACATTACAGAAGGAAAACAATCTTCACCAGCGAGCCATCAGCGCTGAAAACTCCATCCATAACATGGAACCACCACCAAACACGGCGAGTAGGAGACAACCCACGCACCAGAAATTGTCCAGCCTGCCCACTCATTCTAACAACATCCAGCCACGACCAATAGTCGATGGTGGCCATAGGAGATTCAGAACTGACCAGAGCAAGATTAAAGAGCACCAAACCTGATGTAAAAACCTCTTTCAAAAGCTTATAAAGAGTAGTGATACGCACACCGGACACTTATAATGAATTGTCTAATTAAATAATTTTAAATCACGGGGCTTCACTTTCTTATTTGTTGCATAATTGATTAATTAAAAGAGTAGGTCTAAGTAATTCACTGCAATTATTCTATGTAAGAATCATTTTTCATTAAATATTAAATAATAATTAATTAAAAATCATCCTTCTTACTTTTGGAGATACAAAATTACCAATTAAATTCTTATATTCAATTGTGGTTAAAATATATTTTTCAATAGATAATATAGCCAATCCATTTAATTTTTCTTGTAACATAGTTGATCGTAGATATAATTTTACCAACTTTTTGTTAGGTTTTGATTCTTAATTGTAACAAATTTATCAATAGCTCCCTTTTAATATTGAATTAGTTTATTTATTTTTTTCCTTCTTTTTTTTAAGTTTTTCAAATACATATAGGTAAAAATAGTCACAACTCATAAACAAATATACAAATACATAAAAAAATATAGATATATATAAATTTATAATAAAACTAAAATTTAATTTAAGAAAAGAACAATATAATCTGATTTAAAAAGCCTTAATTCAATGCCGTTGCAAATTCTTCAATACAAGAAAAGTGCGTTAAAATTGAGACTAATGAATATTGGGTCGATAACAAAAAAAATTGTAAAGTTGTAATGAGAGAGAATTGTGTTAAAATTGAAACTAATGAATATTGAGTCGAGAAGAAAGAAAATTATAAAGTTGTAATGAGAGAGAATTGAGAAGGGAGATAACTTGTAACTTTTGAGTTTGCTTAGTGAGGAGAGAATGAACGAGAGGAATAGGAAAAAATAAATAAATAAAATAAAATAAAAACATAAAAAAGATAATATGGAAAGTTTCCTTCACTTTCCCATACAACGGTTAACATTTTTAATATATATTTACTGCGGTGCAACTTACCGAAAATATATATCTTTCTCTATCTTGTATACTTTTTTTTTACACCAGCACCATATATATATATATATATATATATATATATTCCTATTTAAGAATATAAATATTTGTATTGATTATAGTTTACTAAACAATCGTGAATAGGGATGGCAACGAGGGCGAGTTTGGGCGGGTGTACACGCCCCCGCCCCCGTAACCATTTAAAAACTCCGCCCCCATTCCCGCCCAAAACCGCAAAAACGGGGGGACTTTCCACCCCATCCCCGCCCCCCGTTTAACATTTTTACCCCCGCGGGTACCCTCCCCACCCCGTTTAAAACCAAAATTTCGACTTCATTTAATTTTTTTATCAACTAAAATTTATATAATTATTGAAAAGATTCATTAAAAAATGGGCAATAAATAGTTACTTTAACATTAAAAACATTCTATAATAGCAATTTCATAAAAAATAACATACCAAAACCAGACAAGCCAAATTACATTGTTCCAAATTGGCTTCCAAAAGAGTTTTAATAATAATAATAATAATAATAATAATAAAAGATAGTTCATTACATAGTGGCAAAAAGTTATCAAGAAATTCAGATTTCAAAACAATCTTCTCATAAATTTCTTCATGAGTCTCCATAGTTGCAAAATTTCTTCAACATGGGTAGGCGCCATTAAGAGTAATGATGTGAATGAGAGAGTTAAGAAAACCTAGGGTTTCTAATAGGAAATAATAAATATATATAATAATCAAATAAGGGTAGTTAAGTAATTTCTATATCTAAACGGAGCGGGGCGACCTCCTCCCGCCCTCGCACCAAACCCGCGCGGGTTTTTGATATATCAAACCATCCCCACCCAAGTTAGCTAAATGGTCCCCCAAAACCGCCAAAAACGGGGTGAGGTGGGGCGAATAACCGCGGGGGCGGGTCAAATTGCCATCCCTAATCGTGAATGAGGAGGACAAAAATTGAGAGAAAAAAAGAGTTATTTTAGGAGATAAACTTGGTTAAAGTTTAATTAAAAAGCGTGAATGATGATGAGGAGAGATAAAATGAAAGAAGAAAAAGTTATTTTAGGATATAAATTCTTTGGAATTAGTGTTTAATAATGTTAAGAAACAATTACAATAACTTGTATAAGAAACTATAATATTTTGAGGCCTTCTTATTGGTTGGAGCCTTAGGCGGCCGCCTAAGGCTCGAGGCGCCCCTTGCATAATACGTAGGTCTTAAGATTTTGTGTTCGTAAAGTGTTTTGAATTCTTGGGAAATTTCTTGGACCTTATATTTGACTTTGAAAGATTGATTAATGCATTTTCATGGTTATATTTGTTTTTATTTTTTCATAAAAAAATTTAAAAAATTAAAAAATCTGAAAAATTCCAAAAAGATTTGTTTTATCTTTGATAGGAATTTTATGTGTGTTTCAAGTTTTTATTTTATTTTATTTATTATTATTATTATTATTTTTAATGTTCTTTATGTGCTAATGTGCTTTCATGTGGTTTGAAGGGCAAAAAGATCAAGTTTTGTGGTTTTTCCACTTTTCTGATTTGATATGGTTTAAATCAAGTCACTTATGTATGTCATGTTTAAACATATTGTGTCCACACCATTGCACACCTAAGATACCTCCATGTGCTATCACTTGTTCTAATTTGTCTTTTATGGATTGTTAAGGCATTTTGATAAGTTTGGATCTTTTATTGCATTTTGATGCTAGAAATCTAGGTTATGATTAATTGAAGGGGTTTGAAAAATATTTGAGGTTTTTATTGCTTTTAGGTGATTCTTTACATTTGGGTGATTGGATAACAATTATGTTTGAAGTATTTGATTTTCTTCATTTATATTTGATGATTTGTGTTCATATTTGTGATTTGAACCCATTCGAGAATACTTTCAATTTTGAGGTTAGAATTGATGCACTCTAAGTGTTTGATATATTATCTTAACCATGTTTGTATATCTTTTGAGTCAATGATTGTGGTGGACATTGATGTGTTAGCTCAAGTCATTAAGTCAATATTGATCATGAGGATTAATTCTTAGATCTTTAAGTTTTTTTTTATCTTGGATGCTTAGGACTTATGACTTTGACTCATGTTGATACCTAAAGATGCTTAGGTGTTTATGACTTGATTTTATAGACATTGATTATATTGATTATTGAATATATTTTTTGAGATATTTTGATGACAATGTCTATATTTGGATGTCTTTTGGGATACATCTTTTGATGATGATGATGATGATGAATATATCTTAAATATTTTTGTAGATGATACATGATTTTATTTTCGTTACTATCTTTTATAATGTTCATATATGTCCATCTTGTATAAACTTTTAGCTCAATGTTTAATTGGATATTAATATTCTTTCCTAATTTGTTTTTTTTCTTCTTCCTTTTATGCTTGGCTTGTCAATTTCTTACAAAAAGAGGGAGAAAATGTACTTTATGTTTAAAGGAGGGATATTATGTGTGATTTTGAGCATGATTGGTTCTATTTATTTTGTGAATGGAACATGTGTTATCGTTGAAATTTCTCTTGTGTTTCATTGCTACCATATATCATCATGTTGTTGTGCTTATTGCTATATTTCTTGCATGACTGATATTTTGTCTCTCTTCATTTTTAATCTTTTTTTTAATTTCTTTTCCTTCCTTGATTAAGTTTTTTTTTTTGTCAATTTGTAACAAAAAGGGGGATAAGTGTGCATATTTGAGGGGGAGAATTTTTTGAATTGAGGGGGTAACGTATACATTGATATTCTCATATTGATATATGTTTTTATCTTTCTTGATTAAGCTTCACGGGTAGTTTTGTTGAGTTGATGTGCGGGTTACAGGGGGAGAAAACTAAATGTGATGAAGCTTCATATATGATTCAAGGAGAGTTCGCTTTTTTTTTTTTTTTTTTTTGGGCAATCATTGTAATTTACTTTTACTGCTTGGATAAATTATTTGTTGTCTTAGGAGTTTTGCCACGAAATTGGTAAATGAGGAGATTGTGAAATATAAATTTGTAAATTGGCAAATTTTGTTGTCAAAACGATTCCAATCGAGTTGTAAAATATTGGTTCAATTCGTCAAGGCTCAAGATCGGAAGTGGAATTGAAGAAGTTCAAGTGTTCATACTTTAATACACTCCGTGATGATGAAAATAACACTTTAGGAAGGTAAAAGAGTGTGTGAGGACACGCTGGTGGTTCAAAATTAGGTTTTTGGAAGTTTTTACATTTTGCCTAACTTGAACTGGTTCAAGTTTTCTTGGAACAGGTTTAAGTGTAAAGCAGAATTTTATTTTTAGCTTTAAGAATTCCTGAATGGGTTCAAGTCTTTAGCAAATTTTGGTAACTTAGTTTCCTACTATGTTTTGATTTCTTACTTTGCATAGACTTTTACTATAATAATTATGCACGAAATTGACTTATTTTCCAAGTACAAATATGTTTTCAAAAGTGTGTAAATATATGCTCCCTCTCTTAAATTTTTAGGGCTTGAAAAAAAATATTTTTCTAATTCAGAGAATTGTTTGAGAAAGACTTTTATTAAAAAATAAAAAAAAAAAAAAAAAACAACAACAATCTGATTTTTCTGATTTTATTTTTTAGAGCACACACAGAATCACAAGAGTGATTTAAGAGTATTGTTCTTTATCTCATCAGAATTGGAGCATAATTGAAGATTCAGAGATTCTGAAAAGCATAATTCATTCATTCTTGATCAAATTCATAATAGAAGAAAATGGGTAAAGCGATCACACTTTGAAGGGGTCAAAAACATTTATGGAGTGTTGTTTGATCTACCTGCAACCCTTCTACAAAGATCAAGAGTAAGCCTGAGGTCAATAGTTGTTGGACAGGGAAGCCAGGGATTGTCAGCAATTGGTATTTGGTAGAACGATAGGGTGTGAGCCTGAGTCAAAGTTTAGTGTACTTTACTTCAAACATAGTTGATCGTTTTGCTCTAAACGACATAGTTCACGAGTTTTTTTCCATAACGATTGGTTAATTTCCACCAGTCGGGGTTTTCTCACTAAAAATTCCGGTATTATCTCTCAAACTTTATTTACTTTACTTGCACTTTTTTTTTTTGCTTTGTGGGTTTGATTTTAGTTTTATTTCAGTAAAATTAAAATAAGGAAAAATTAGCTAAAAGAGCAAGTAAAACCTATTCACCACCCTTTCTAGGTTCCACATCCTATTCCGCTGCACAACTCACACATGTTCCTTGTTTATTTAAAATTATATTTATGTTTTATACAATTGATGAATGTAATGTATTAATGTTCAATTCATTATGGAATTGATGTTGTTCACTTGATTGAAAATTTATATGTATGTGATGACGTTCAATAGAAGAATATAAATAGCAATCATAAATAGTTCATAGTAGGTAATTAAGGATGAACTATTATATTAACTAAGAATGAATCGGATCCGCGATAGGTTGGGATATATTCTGAGAGTTGTTGTATACAATTGCTCTCTATCACTGTCATGACATTTGACTCTCAAGTATGAGAGAAGTATACTCTTTTATTAATTAATAAGTACTTTGATTTGTCCAGTGGAGCCTTTTGGATTCTATAATCGGCTCTTTGGGTAATCAGTTAAGGGTTATATTCTCAATATTTGCATTGGTGCTACTTGTATTTATTTTGTATTGATTAAGGTTGATCACAAGGTAAATTCAGAGGCCTCCGTGTAAGTTTATTGTGATTGAACCTGAAGTAATCAACGAACCAAAATAAATATATTAATTAGTGGTCGGATTGATGGCTTTAATTATCCGATAACTAATTATGCATAAAGTCAAGTTGCAACATTGACTTAGTGGTTTTTACTCCGATTGGAGTGCAATTAATTTCTTTTAGTGGAATAGAAATTAATTTACAAATTAATTAAATTGGATCCATGGTAGTTGGACTGGGTCAATTATTAATTCATTAGAGCCAAAAGATTAGTAGGTACAAATGATTCTCTCTCATAGCCCATAATTGATATGGAGGCCCATGAGATTGGAGATAATACTTTTATTGTAGTGATTGAGAATTGATATTTCCACTCTATGTGCCTATATATACGATGAGGCCATGTGATGAGGATAAGCCTTGGTGCAGAATTTGTGTGATACACTTTCTCTTTCTACATTTTGGGTTTGATGTTCTCATCTCTTGAAGCTCATAAGCTTAGGCCTTGTTTGGTATGTGTAATGTGCTTAGGCCTTGTTTAGTATGTGTAATGTTCTATGGTGTAATGTTCCAGGCCCGCTACAGTACCACTATTGAGGCCAAAACATGTTTGGCACGGCCTGTGTTGGTTTCAACAGTGTTAGAACAATTTCAAAAAATGAGCCAAAAGTTAGAATAAGAATATGGTGTCCTGGCTTGTTCCAAAACTTTAACCGGCCAGTTATCACTGTAGCAGGGGCAACATATGCTAAAACTTGGAACAATTTGAGAACAGGTATAAATAGAAATTGCAACAATGTTCTAGGGCTAGGGTTATATCGCGCAGCTGAAGGCGATTTGGTGACTCCAGTACAAAACATCGGGTTTCAAATCGACGACTCTATTAGGCTTGAAATTGACGATAGTCTTTGAAGCTTTCCTACACAATCGTCTTCTTGTCACTGTTGTGGGCTTGAAATCGACGATGCTCAAATAGATCTGAAGCTTGCCTACACAGTCGTCTTCTTCTCACTGGTGAGCTCCTCTTGTTCTTCTTATTTCATGTTTAACATACTTATCCTTGTTTTCTCTTTAAAATTTCGACGGTGTCTGAAGATTGGGTTTGAAATCGACGACTGTGTCTGAAGATCTAAAGAGCTCTCTCTTCATCGCGTCTTTCTTCACTCTCGGATTCTCTTATCTCTTTCTCTGGCCGATTTACGCCAACGAGAAACGCCGGCAGCCCTCTGCAACTTCCAACGAGTTCCAGTCTTCTTCACCAGCTACAGTTTACCAAGAAAATTTCCAGAATCTCCCCAAGCTCTCTCTCTATTTCCTCGTTATTTTCATCTCGGGTATGTTAAGTTTTCTTATAATTTTGTTTTTAATTTTATGTTGTTTTATATTTCGTCTTTGTATATATACGCACCTTAAATTGAAAACTGAAAAATTAACACAAATTGAAAAAACACTATAATTGTGAGCACGTGAACTAAAAAACACTATAATTGTGAGCACAAAAACTGAAAAATAGAAAATTACATATATTGATTTGAGTTCTTTGTAAGCACAAGAATAGGTACACTGTACACTAATAATTCTAATTTATTGAGTTCAATGTAAAAGAATTAGATTTTATAGCTTTGGTCATTAATATAGTTACGGATTATAAATTGGTTTAATTATTTTGCTCACTTCAAATGGCTTTGGATCATGTGATGATAGTACATAAGTTTTTTTCTTTTCTTTTTTTCCACTAATGTGTTGCATACATATATATATATATATATATATGTATGGAATAGAAGTTGGTTCAGTACTATATGCTATAATTTAAAAATAGATTGATTTTTAAATTATGCAACACCTAAAGAACACATAATTAATTTCTCTCTTCATGAAATGAGTCATTTTAAGAATCTCACTCAACATGCATAATTTATCTCTAACAATGAGGTGCTTTAATTAAGTGTTTTTGTAATGTTTCTGAATTTTTGCCATTTTCCATTTCCTGGAAATTTCTTTTTTTAAGGGTATTTTTGTCTTTTCTCGTTTTGCGTGCCGGATACATAGGGTGTGCCGGGTGTGTCAAAGAGTTAGGTGTGACATTTCCTTGAATTCAAGACTCTTGAAAATGCAGCGGTTGCCATTTCGGCATCTTTCAGTTTTTCGGGCAAGAAAGTTCCGGGTAGGACCCGTTACCAGGACTGTTGAATATAGGGACTATGTTTTGGGTCCATTACATTTCGTGCATTATTCATTGTGTATAAATTAATTTTTTTAATGCTTATTGTGGTTGCATGTTAGTTAGTGTAAGTATATTTAAATTTGTGGTGAAAAATAAAAGTTAAAAAGATTTTTATTAAAGGGTGGGACCCACCATTGATCTTTTATGGCCATAAAGTCATTTTGGGCCTTCAATCTCTCTCTCTTTCTCTCGTAAGAACACACTCTCTCTCCCTCTTATTTCTTTTTTTTTTTCACAAAAATTTCAAATCGTGTTTTCTCTCCAACCATTTGGAGTTTGCGTGTGCCATTTGCGGCAAGTCGAAGAGCTCGTCAAGATTTACGATTTGATCGGAGTAATGGTGTTTTTGGTGCAACTTGGGATTTCGAAATTAGGGCTAGAATTGGGCAATTTTTTAGGCGTTCCTCTCATTTGAGATAGGGATATCATAATCCACAAAAAAAACTCTTTGATTATTGTGAATTTTCTCTATAATTGAATGTATAACATGGTTAATTGTAATTAATTCTTGAAAAACCATTATATCGTAGTCAATAATTTGTATATCTATGTGAAATTCTATGTGTAGATCATGTATGTGTATGTGGTTTGTAGACTTGATGTGAGAAGCATGCTTATGTGAATTTGTTTCATAGGTTATATGCTTAACATGCTAGATTATTGTTACATGGAAGTATGATATGTTCTTTGTATTATTTGTAAAGCATGTTAGGTGGTTAAGTTTGAATTAGAAGCATGATAAATATTGGCATGGCATAAAAAGCATGTAGCACCTATGCACTTCATTGGGAAAGAAATTGGAAATGGGTTTTTTTTTGATAAAAATGAAATGGGTTTTTGAGGAAAAAGTTTTGGAAGGGTTTACGAAAACCCGGCTGCCTAGGAGTTGCCTATGGACCGTGGCGTTAGTGTGGTCTAGAGGGGACTAGGGAGATTGCCTTAGCGTGGTTGAGTCATCTGGGCCCCAAATGACGTTATGGAGTTGCCATGGGTTATGGACAGTTAGCCAATCCTCCTCTTGTGCCACCATGGAGTTGCCATGGGATGGGTTTCACTAACGGTTTGAAAAAGATGATGGAAAAGGTTTTGGAAAATGAGGAGTGACATTGCATAACATTGCACTCCATTTTATGGCATGGTTTATCATAACTTTGACTTATTGTTGTTGATTTTATTATTGAGTTTTCCCCGTCATGGCATGAACCCTTCTCTTTATTTCTATTCACTATTTGGATTTACGGGGTCACAAGAGGTGTGTCTTAGGCACCTCCTACTGAGCCATTGTGCTCACCCCTTTATATTAATATTTTTCAGGTCACGGAAAGGAGGTGGCGGATGACAATTCACCACAAGCTTGAAAGGGGACGGAATTTCATATTTTTGCCGTCTTTTGTATATTTGGGCCCATTCTTTTGTAAAGTCTTAATCTTGGAAAAATGTATCCGTTTGTACAACTTACTGCAACTGTAACTAAGGCTTCTCTATAGTAGTTTTGATGTAAATTTGAAACTATGTAGATATTTGATGTTGAATGGGAAATGAAGTTATATTTTGAGAAATTATAAATGCCTTTCAACTATATATTTTGCCGTGAATTTGGAATTTGGTTGCGTATCAGGTCTTGTGCAGGTTGGCTCACAACGAGCCTAGTCTTCTTGGTGTTATCTGCTACAGATAGTAGCTTCCCAGGGCCTGTCGATCGGCTAACAAGGACTATTAGCCTGCTGATAGCGCATATTTTAGAATTCCAGTGAGCTGAGGTTTGAGGGCCACTGTTTCGGCAGGTCGAACCTTATCATCAACCGGCCGAACCTCCTTCATCAGCTGGTTGAAACTCATTTTCAGTCAGCTAATAAACCCTTTTTAGCAAGTCCTGAGAGCATGTAACTGTGGTCATCATTTCGGTCGGTCGACCATGTAGGTCAACCGATCGAACCTGCCCTTTTCAGCCGGCCGGTGTGTGGCCATCTGCCGGCCGACCCTTCCCTTTTGACCTACACTTTGACCTTTGTTGTAAAGGTGTGTATTTGGAATACCTAGGACATTAAGTTGACTTGTGTACTTCATATTGACCTTGGAAATAACGGTATTACCATTAGTTGACCTCGAATTCGGGTAAGGACCCGGTTAACGGTTAGGACCCACGGATTCGGGTCGTTACAGTTTTCAATTTTTAATATGCCAAATATTTTCTCTAAGAGGAAAATTGTACAGTTCATTATGGCTATGGATCATTTATCAATTGAACTTTAGATACACTTCAGCATAAACTAATATAATATTGGAATGTTATTGTGCTATTGGATGCCATATAAATATATATATTGACGAGGCCGCTCGTGAACGTCAAAATAATGTAGTAAATGTGTGATTCAAGAAAAGCCTTTTAGGTCAAGTTTAAATTTATAAAAACCACCACCGCCACTACTAGTAACGTAGCAAGAGTGAGTAAGGATCGTCCCAAGGGATTATACGTGTTGGAATTTAATTTCGACTCTAGTGGATCACAAGATTGCAAAGGGGGGTTGATTGGTTGGTTATTCTAGAAAACAATTAAATTAAAATGCAATTAAAGTAAATTAGTGAGAGATAGGGATTTAAGAGATATGAAGAGAAAACTTAGGATGTTGGAATCACCACTAAGCTCATGTAATTAACCACTTGCTTTCCATTAATGGGAAATACATTGTTGTGAACAAAATGCGACTACCAATTGCAATATTAAGCATGGACCATCAAATTCATGTATGAATTGTCTACCTAACCAACAAATAAACTAAGTGTAGAACAATCCATCAAATCTAAGCATGACCCATCAAACTAATCACAATTGTAGCACACATCAATCTAGAAAATCATGGAATTTGCAATAATAAACCATGAAATATCAAATCAAGTATAGATTGTCTACCTACTTACAAGCATGAATTAAATTGTAGAACAACCCATCAAGCATAAGAATAATCCATCAAATTAATTTATAAACCCATTTAATGAAAATTCTTGCTTAGCCATAACTAAATCCTTAATTAATCACATATAGACATGCAACCAATATAGAGAATCTAGTGTAGAGATCAATTCCCCAAATAATCACACATAAGATAACATGTAATTAAAATAGAGAATCATAAGGAAGAATTAATCAACAGTCACATGGCTAAGCAATAATCACAACAATATATTTATAAATACCAAAAAATAGAAATACAAGGGTTTAGATTACACAAGACTTAGGACTCATGTAAGCCCTAAGTGTAGATCTAGCCAATTATGGAGGAAGTGGATGTGGTAAAGAAACCCTCAAGGGCAAGCTCTAAACATGGCTCCATCTTCTTCTTCTTTGAAGCTCTAGAGAGAGAGTGTGTGTGGATCTAGAGATGGGTTCTTGAGACGTGCCTCCACTTTCCTCTTTTCTTCTAACCCTTATCTCTAACTTTCTAGAGAGAGAAAGTAATGAAAATATAGGAATTACAATGTGCAAATATATATCTCTCTACAAAAATGGTTGAAAATGAGAACTCGGCCCTAGGATCTTCCCTTTAAAGCTCTACCCGAGTTGGTTCAAAATGAGATTCAAATCTGCTTTTAAATAACTTTCGCGAACAGTTTGATCGATCAGAGAAATCAGAGTTCGATCGATCTTACTTTTCTTTGATCGATCTCTGATCGATCTCTATTGGCAGCTTTTCAGCATCAGCCTCTTTTTGCTCCAAATCAGGTTCCTTTTGCTCTAAATTCTCTTCGATCTATCTCACTTTTCTTTGATCGATCTAAGTTAACAGCTTTTCAGCATCAGCCTCTTTTTGCTCCAAATCAGCTTCCTTTTGCTCTAAATTCTCACTAACGCTTAGTTTGACTCCAAAAAGGCCTTAAGAAACCATTTCTAGCTCGTTTTAATATTATTGACCTGAAATAGACAAAAACACAAATAAGTACTAAAACGGGTAAATAAAGATAGATAAATGGACTAAAATGCCCTCGCTTAAGGGGTTTAAATGCGCACTTTTCAGCGCTCATCACACCCCCAAACTTAAATATTACTAGTCCCTAGCAATGAACTACGAAGTAAAGAAATGAAATGAACAACTATATAACTATGAACTAGAAAGTAATAAATGGATAACGCCACTTTCGTAGGGAACACGATTACATTTAGCACATACAACAAGCTTTTTAAACCCCAAGGTTACCCCTAGTGGACGAGTGAAGTCTCGTGAGGGTTTCCCAAAATGATACCCACAAACATTAAGCCCATTCTCACAAAAGAGACTCCAATATTGCAAATAAGCATTGGGAGAAAACTACCTCAAGTATGCAATTTTGCAACCATTTCTAAGAAATCTCCCAAAATTTCAACATTAAGCAAACAAGTATGGTCCTCCACACATCAAGAAAATGGTCATGCAAATCAAAACAATTCTAGAATCCTTTTTGAGTGGACTGGCATCAAATATGTTGCTATCTTAATCAACTCGGGCAGAGCTTGAAAGGGAAGATCCTAGGGCCGAGTTCTCATATATTTGGGCCCTCCACCTTTCGGCGCGAGAAATTCAGTGTTTGATGAGGCTAGAATCCTGGGTACTCAATGAAAAGGGTTTGTTATCCACCTTTATCAAGAATGAAAGTTTTCAATGCACTACTAGCCCAATTAGGATATAACCAATTCAATAATTAACAAAGCATGTACCCCACAAATGAATGCTAGTGTGCGCCTGTACTAGTGTAGAATCCTAGAGTGAATCTCAAAACAATCACAAAATCAGGATGATGTGGACCACAAGTGCAAGCAAGATATCAATATTTTCGAACAATTTACTCCTAAATGGCATCCATAAGGCATACAAGGAGTATTGGACTCTCAAATCAATCAATTTTTAAATTCTAAGCAATATAGTTCTCAAAAAATCAAAATCATCGCTAACATCAATATCAAATCTCAATCATATATTTAAAACTTAACTTTAAGTAGAATGCAACAAAGCCACCTCACCGCCAAACTTAAACCGCACATTGTCCTCAATGTGCAATGAGAACAATAGAAAAGATGGAAAGAGTATACCATGGTGGCGAAAACATGAAACTCGACAATGATCCAATATGAAAAGGGTTTCCCCTAAACTTGGAATCAACAACCTATTTAAATAACCACACTAGCAAGCTCACATCAAATATCAAATGGGATAAGAATAATCAAATCATGCATTCTAAGGCAATATAACACAAGATAAAAGAGAGATATGAGATCAAGCCCTGACTAAAGCATAAAGTATGCATGACTACACATAAGGGCACAATGGTGACTTTTTTATATATTTCTTTTTATGAAAGCAAGTATATACAAAATGCAAGAATAACAAAGAATAAAATGCATGAACAAAATGTAAAAAGAAAAATAAAGAAGGAAAAATGCAATGAAAGAATATGTACAATGCAAGAAATGAAAAACAAAAAGTAAGAAAGGATGCAAGAACAAAATAATAAAAAATAAAAATAAAAACTCTTTTTTTTTCATTTTTTTTTTTTTTTGACATAACAAGTATGTACACACACACAATAAAATGCAAAGAAATAAAAATATAATAAATGAAAATGTAATGAAATAAAAAATACAAATTTATTATTATTTTTTTTTATTATATTTTTTTAAAAACGTATGTACAATGAAACAAAATGTAAGAAAAATGTACAATGATTGCTAAGTTTAACGTCTCTAGCAAGACGGAATGCCACTTTGAAAGATTGTTTTTTTAATTATTTTTTTAGACAAAATAAGTATGTACACAAATAAAAATGCAAGAAGTAAACATGCAATGAAATAAATAATGCAAATAGAGGATTTTTTTTTTTTTTTTTCACAAGAGAAAAGTAAGTAAATAAAATAAAAGAAAATAACAAAATTAAAAGCAAATGAAAATGAAAATAAAATAAAAATAAAAAGAAGAAAAAGTCAAAAAGTCAAAGGGGCAAAGCTGTGATCGATCTAAGGATGATCGATCGAAACTCGATCGATCCAAGATTTGAAAACCTGCAGACAACTTCAAACGATACACAGAGATCTGAAATATGCAGAGATTCAAAAATTTTCTAAGTATAGAACTGAGATCGATCGAAGGGATAACTGGATCGATCGAGAAATAATTGGATCGATCTGGAATAAAGTTCGCATAATACACAGAGAGCTAATTTTTGTAAAGAATTGACTGCAGAGAGGTTCGATCGATCGAATGGACACTTGTGATCGATCGAACTGGCACTAAATGCCTAATTTTGAGATGAAAGTGCAGAAAGTCCTATGCTAAGCCCCAATGATAGTAACTAAAATGGAGATTGAAAAATAGATGGAAGAATGTACACAAGAGCGAAAAATAAAAAGAAATGAGGGAAGAATAGAGTTATGAAACTCTACGAATACTAGTGTTTAACGTCTCTAGCAAGACATTGGGTCAACTCACTAATCAAAAGAATCAAAAACTGGATATGAAACATCCTTATTGATCATCTTTTCACTTTTCTCATTTAATATCCCACT